AAGCTGTGAGTCCCAACTCAATAATAATTGAATAAAGACCTTAGCCCTAAAGAGGCTAGTTAGTATTAAAAAAAATAAAAAAATAAATAATTATAATCTGAAAAAACTTTATTTAGAATAAATATTTTATTATTTATTATTTATTTATTACTATATTAGCTATATATAAATATCAGACCTGGACCAACTTATATATTATATATTCTGGATAAGGTTAGATAGATTGGCATAGGAAACTCATATCTCAGAGGATTTAATTAGATAATCCAAATAATAGATGGATTATAGGTACAACATCTAGTGTAGAACCTAGTAATAGGCAAACTATTTAAATTAGATGCTCAAAAGGCATAGGTATAGCTAAAATATATTCTTGTCTGAATATACTTGTCTGAAGTAGGGATTAGACCCGGGTAGAAATTGTTACTATACGATTACCCGAAATATATAATAACTTACCCGGATAACCCGGTTAATTTAATAATACCCGGGTAGAGATTTTCTCAACGGGTCCAATCTCTAGTCTGAAGCTTCTTTAAAAAGGATACCATATAATTCTACAATCTAATAAAAGCAGAAAGCCAAAGAGGCTAACCTTGATTATAAAAAAAAATAAATAAAAAAATACTAGACCTCTCTATTATTACTTTCTTTATAGTTACATTTGTTTATAATTATATAAATTTTAAAAACCAACTTGTATAGCATCTATAAAATTTAATCTCTATATAAACACAAACTCTGAGGTATAGCAACTTAGTAAAGTTGGTAAGTTGTTACACCGCCAAGTTGCAGAACAAGAGTTCAAATCTTACTGGTAATGAAATTTGAATTTTACAAAATGTGTTATAGCAACTGTATATTATCTGATGGATTAATAGATCAGTAGCTTTGGTTATATCAGCTTGTATTAGGAGGCTGTAGAATATTAGTGTGATATATGAGTTATACAAAACCTGAGTGAAACAGTTAGGGTAGTATCATTTATCATATTTTTTTTATCAGAAGCTTACACCTCTTCCCCTCTTTTATTATATATTTTGATCAGGTCTTTATATATAATTTTAAAATTTTTATCCCCTTCCTCCTCTAAAAAATCATCTGATTTTTGTCACATCTCTTAGAAAAAACCAAAAGCTGAGGTATATAGAAGCCTATTTAGCAAGTCCTAAGTAAAAAAAATAGTACAAACTTTTGATAATATTATATAAAGAATCATTAACCAGAAAATTAAAAAAACTAGACAGGATTAAGATATTTGATAAAAGCATTATATCAACTAGGCTGTCAGGTAATTGGAGGAAAGATTGCTCTTTTAGACTATTTGAATTGAGAGTTTGAAGAAATCAAAGGAATAGTGAATAGTTCGTATAGTAGGTGCTAAGGTTTGAGTGAATTCTACAAGGGCAGTAGTAAGTAATAGCAGCAGCTTCAACTTGCAAGTATTTGTCTTCAGACTCAGTATAAGTTACCAAAAAGTTAAGTTAGTTGAATTGTAAATATAGAAAGCTTTAGCAATGATGGCTCGAAGATAAAATAATTCTAAAAGCACCAGAGAAAGTATTTGGGACTTCTTTTGACTAATAATTATAGTGAGAATATACTGGTGATACAATTCAGATTGTATTATAGAAGGTTTAAATAGATAACTCTCTAATCAAATGATAGGTATAGTAGCTAGTGTAAAACTTATAGTATAATATCAATATGCAGACTACTTAAATAGGCAACCAAAAGTTATATATGTGGCTAGTTGTACTTACAAATATAAAGAAGTTCTATAAATAAGCTTTGTGTTTAAATATTTGAATAAAAAACCTTAGCCCAAAGAAGTTAGTTTAAAAAAAGTATTATTATAGAAGGAGGAGTATAACTCTATAATAAAAATAAATTACATAATAAACTGCATTTCTCTAACTAAAAAATTATTATTACTTATCTTTTTAAAATAGAAATATATCTATATTATAATATATAGCTATATATATAAATATATAGTATAAAAAACCTTTTTCTAAAGATATAGTAAATACTTATAGTCATTTAAAAATAAAAGGTTGTTAAAATAAATAGGTTTAGAAATATATTATAAAAGTTACCAGATATTGTATATAATTTTTATATTTTTATACAAGCTGTAGCATTTTGTTTGTTTTGTTTAGTCTTAGATTATATTATAGCATGTTTCTAAAATATTTCAGAATTTTAAATTTTTAACTACCAATTGTAAATCATTTAATTAACTTTATATATATATAATATTATTATTTTGGTCTAACAATAATATATATTTTCAATAATATACTACAACTCTTCTTGATGATCTCTTGGCCAACAACAATAAAACCGAATTATAGCAAAACACTATAGAAAAGCAATAAAGTAGATATCAAACTCAGTTCCTATATAGAAGCAGCTTGTTGTTAACGAAGTCTAAGCATCTAGATATAAAACACTGAGAAGCAGGCATTAAAAGAATACGGACGGTTTTCTTTAGAATCAAGTTTTTTTTGCTAGATGGACTTCCCAAGATATTCAACATCTAAACCAGAAGGTTTATTCTAGAAACAAGTCTGTAAAAAGTAGCCAACGTGCACTCACCAAGTTAGTAGAAACAGAGAAGCTGAACTATACAACTATAAAATCTACAAGAAGAACTACACATACTTTCGTTGACCCACCACTTTTTTTCGAAGAAATTTTTGTAAAAAGTGGTATTTTAGTTTACCCCCTCCAAATGATCAACATTATGTATACCAAACAAGTCGGCATTATTTATCTCCCAAATTGGAATATGACAACAATCACATATATATACATGCTTCAAATGCAATAGATATCTGTACAAATGATGCTCTGAGACTCTGTTTTGACCTCTCTACCTTAAGCTGATCGATGAAATTTTTCCTACTGAGTTTTTACTTTCATATACTAGTTTAGAGAAAAATAGAAGTAGAGACTAATTTGTTTAGTCAGTATGTAATTTTTCCAAGCCACCTACAGGCTTATAACCATGGTATTAAGATAGACAAATTTTCTGTTTTGTTTTTGTTTTTTTTTGATATTTCTTTATCTCTTTTTTTTTGTATTTTGTATTCTTTTACTATAGTCCCCTATACCTCTGTGTTTTTTTTTTAGTTTGTTTGTTTTATTTTCTGATTTTGCTTCTTAATGAGCGGGTAGCCACCAGCTGATGAACAACAGAAAAAAATCCTTAGTGAGTTAAGAACTCTAAAGGAGGCCAAAAGCTACTGAGACAGGTTACGTCTAGTGTATAAAATCATGTAAATGAGTTCTTCATTTGGTTGAATCTATTTTAGTTAAAGATAAATTTTTGTAATTTTGAATAACTTGATCCCAAATAAACAAGGGCAGGATAGCTTAATTGAAAAAAAAAATAATATATATTTTAAATTTTTTATAATCTATATAATACTGTTAATGTTCTGATAGTTACTGCAGATTATTAAATTGTATATTTGTATATATATTTGATGACAAATTTAAAATAGGTTATCTGAAGTGTACAAAAATTTAAAATAGATTGTACTCATAAAAAAAATAGTTTAACATATTGAAAAATAGATTAGATGCATTATTATTATAGATAAAAGTGGCAATAATTTTTTTAGAAGATTTAATCTTAAAAAATAATAAATTTTGTTCCTAAAACTTAAATTTGAGAACCAAAATTAGTTAAATTTGACAAATGTACTATAATATACAGTCGAACCTCCATAATTGCACCCTCTATAATTGCACCCATATATAAATTCTCTCTAAATAGACGCCCTGGCATAGTCCCAAATATATAAAAACATAGTAAAAATACCCTCTATAAATGCATACCCTCTCTAAATAAACATTTTTAAAAATTTGTTCTATGGTCCCGAGGGGGTGCAATTATAGAGGTTTGACTGTATATGTTAGTATAGACTAGTATTAGACCTTAGATAATGCATACTGATCTGTAATATGTAAAGTTCATATTAACTAATAACCACCAATTCTCTTTTGAAACAAATAGATATGTTTATCCATCAAGACTTAACAACTTTTGTTGTCAAGAAGTCATTAGTATTCAGTAAACTAGGTTGTAGATAATTTATATATATCTAAGTAGTTTACAATAAACTAGCCTGTTCTGGTGGCTATTAGCACAGAATAATTTTTGCTTTTTTTTTAAAAAAAAAAAAAAATGAAAAATAATAATAATTCCGTAGAGTTAAAATTATCCACATAGGTGTTAAATGGCAACAGATAATTGGTGCAATCATGCCATTACCAACACCAATTATCTTCTACTATTTAACAACTATGTGTATATTTTTAAACTCTCATCCAATAACTATAAAATTTTTGAACCAGACACTATACTAGCAACAAAATATCAAGAATGATTAACTGTAATACTTTGTATTAATACTAATAAAACAAATAAAATTAAACTATTTGTAATTAGAAAGTTTCCCAACCCATGCTATTTCAAATAAGTCAAGCATAACAAACTTGGTATTATATATATCAGTACTAAACATAATAGTCGACTAAACCGATTCCAATCCCTATTTATATATTTTATTATAGTTTGGAGACTCCATTAACAACCTTACCTATGATTAAAATATTGACTAAATAAACCTGTCTACTTTGAAAAACTTTAGACTATGATAGAGAATAAGCTCATTTTATGTAATCTTTATTGATATCGTTATGGCAACAGAAGGAACAAATTAAATAATTTTATCTTATATACTTTTCAATGCGGGAAAAAATAAAACCTGTTCATAGGTCAACAAAAGTAAAATATATCAACAATTTCACAAAATTAATAATACAAATCATAGAAAAGTAATAAATACCTCTTTAATAGTTGAACTATTTGTCAAAAACATAGTAAGCCGATCTATGCCAAGTCCCCAACCAGCGCTATCAAATAATGAAAAAGTTGTTAAAAAACTCATGCTTTATCCACTATCATTCCGTCTTGAGTATTGTACTCACGTGGGTGGCATCCCATATTCCAGGCTCATACAGAACGCCTCATCAGTGACTTGCGCTTCTAGATCTCCTTTTTTCCTTTCCAAATCTTGCTCTTTAAATCTCTCTCGTTGTTCAAAAGGATCATTTAACTCAGTATATGCATTTATAATTTCTTCCGTTGCTACGTATAATTCAAAACGTTCGCTTAAACAAGGTAAGTCTCGATGAGATTTGGCAAACGGGGATGTGAATAATGGATAACCTATCAAGAATGTTGGAGATATAAGTGTAGGTTGAATGTATTTTTGTATAAGCTGGTGTGTATTAGTATATATAGTAATTAAATTATTGACTTACAAAATTGGGAGCTTCAAATTTTGTGCTTACTTTATTCAATAATCTATTATTGGTTCTTGGATTTTTACAATAAATTTCGCGTTCTTCGCAAATATGGTCCAAAAACTTATTCGATTCTTCGGTATGCAACTCTTCTAACGCTGGAAACTTTATTCCTAGACTTTTTTCTAGACTAGGTATTATTTCAACTTTTTTAAAAGGTGAAGAAAAGTCCAATTTCATTACTTTATCATCATGAGAGTGTCCTTCATTCGGATGGTAATCTACTATGCATGCACCCGTGATTTTTCTAACCATTCCCTCCAACATCCTTTCTGTTATCCTCATCAAATCATAAACATCAGCATACGCCATGTAAAATTCACAAGATGTAAATTCCGGATTGTGTGTTGCATCAATTGATTCATTTCTAAATTGTCGCCCAATCTCATAAACGCGATCAAATCCACCTACTACGAGCTGTTTTAGGAATAATTCTGGTGAGACACGTAAGAAAATATCACGTTTAAGATCTGAATGATGTGTGATGAACGGTTTTGCGAAGGCACCGCTTGGAGTTGAAGTCATAATAGGTGTTTCTACCTATGATTATACAAATAATCAGAACGGAAATCCATGCTTTATAGTAATGACAAAACTTAATTCTTACTTCTAAAAAACCAAGCTCATCTAAAAATCGTCTAATGTAATTAATAATATTTGCTTTAATGACAAATTTTTCACGACTGCTATTATTCATGATCAAATCAAGGTATCGTTGTCGATATCGATTATTTTGATCCTTAAATCCTTGTTGTGGTGTTGGCAATTGATGGAGACAAGGAGAAAGTAGTGTTATATCTTTTGAAAATATGGACAATTCACCTTGCGAAACTCGTCCAGGATATCCTCGAACGCCAACTATATCACCACGACGGATTGTGGAATGGACTTTGGCAAAGTCTTGCTCCTCTCGTTCCGAATCTCTTTAAAGATTAAATATTAATCAACCAATTCACATTTTTCTATACCAAATATAATTAATCTAACCAAATTATAAACATTTACTGTACTTTCGCAACAATTTGGATTTTGGCGCCATCACCATGAAGATCATAGAATATTAGTTTCCCCAATTCGCGTTTATTATGAATTCGACCAGCTACCGTAATTATTTCCTGGTTAAGCTGTTGTGCAGGTTCTATAATGTTATATTTTTTGATAAAAGCCGGAATTGAGAGGTCAACGTGAAATTTGTGTGGATATGGGTTTATATTTTCTGTTTCTCGGTATTCCGTGACTAGTTTTGATCGATTTTCAAAGTAATTTTGTGAAAATCTATTACGGTAAATACGTGAATTAGACTATTTTTACACGTTTAACATATGCTATTGAAGTTGTAGCAAATAAACACCCCAATTTTATTAACAATTATGCAACGCTTAGTAATCATTCACTTTTCTTGTCTTCTGTATTATTCGTACTCATCAATTCAGTTATCGAGAGGTATCATTCTATAAAGTTTAATATTCATACTTATAATTCGAAATTCTTGAAGAATGTCGAAATCCCCGGCGACCCCCGGTAAAAGGCGGTGCTTTTGGAGAAAGATAAAGCCTTTGAAGCTTTAATAAAAAGCGAAACCCTGAGAAAGGTCGAGCTACATCAGTAGATAAAAACATTTTTCATTTGTGTATCACAGTTGTTAGCGTTAGACGAGCAATAAATATGTTTTGTGGGCGTTGACATCCCTGATTTTTATTTCGAAAAAAATTAATTCGTAATGATCCGTATGGTATTGATAATCTTGTACTGATAAATTACAATGCTTCCGAAAATCTCCGACAACCATGGCAGTGCCACATCTTTTTAACTCTCCTCAAGCAATGTTCGCCCCTGGGCGTTATTTCGCGACGATACGGTATAATATTTATCTCACACTTGAAATCAAGGATGGTAAATAACCTGATGAGTCAAATAACAAATAACTGATTATTGGTTATTTCAAAAACCCAAATGACTAAGATCATTAATATATACCGTATCGCACTGATTAAAAGATCCCCATTTTATTATATCCCCCGTGTAAAATACCCGTGTAAAAATCACAGAAATTCCATTAATTGTGATCAGCTCTTTTTAAAATCTCTGGCTGTATACCATGATTAAGGAATGCCGTACAATATACCCGCGGTACGGTACTCTTCAAATTGCCGTTTAATTTAGAAATAATTCTAGAGTACATACATGCACGCATGCACGTTGTTTTAGAAGTTACTTCAATATTAGATACTAATCAATATATGGGGTGAGGTAGGACCCCGGATAATACTAATAGAGCTATGAGTTGAGTTAATAGTAAATTTTCAGACATTTTGTCCACTTTTTTGGCCCAAACTTTTTTAAATTCTGCCCAGAATT